CCGTGGATATCACGACCACCACCAAGGTTATGAACGCCAAGAGCAGTGATGAAGCCATGGAAAACACTCAAACAGATCAAGGAACCAACATAAAATCAAGGGAAAAAATATCATTAAAGTCTTGGACTTATTAACATCGATCAACCCTATTATTAGTAGTAATTATAATAGCAACATGATTAGAAAAAGATTTCTAATTTTTCAAATAAAAAAAAAAAGGGAATTGTTATTGGCACTCCAAATTTCTCATTCTACACTTCAAACTTTCTATATTTAGAAAGAAAAATACATTTGTAAGGAGTGTAGAATAAGATTTTTGGAGTGCCAATAACGCTTCCCAAAAAAAATTAGAAAATTATATTTCAATCCTTGAAGAATATTATTTTTAGAATAAAACCGTGTATAAGATTAAAGACTAATTTTAATCCTTGACATTTAATTCTAATGATCAAATATTAATTAGGTTGTAATAATTAATGAGCTTTTTAATGTAGATTATATATTGATCCTCATAAACAATAAAAATATTATTTGTATAATATATTCTTTATTGTGAGTAAATTTCTCTATATATATGTATATGCATATTACGTACCTATTTAAGTACTATAGTTATGTGTTGAGATATTTTGTACAAAAACTTATGTACCGATACATTTCGCACCTAAATTTATGTACTGATGAAATCGCACCGAAACTTATGTACCAATGCAATCGTATTGAAATTTATGTACCAATGCAATCATATTGTAACTTAAGTACCGATACATTCCACCAAAACTTATGTACGGATGCATTTGTACTGAAACTTATGTACGGATGCAATCGTACCGAAACTTATGTATTGATACATTCATACCGAAATTTATGTACATATGTATTTGTACCGAAACTGATGTACCGATGCAATCGTATCAAAACTTATGTACCGATACATTGGTATCGAAACTCATATACCGATATATTCATACCAAAATTTATATACCAATGCATTCGTATCGAAACTTATGTACCGATACATTAGTAATGAAACTTATGTATCAATGCAATCGTACCGAAACTTATGTACCGATACATCGTGCCGAAACTTTATACCAATACATCTTATCGAAACTTATGTATCGATGCAATCGTATCAAAACTTATGTACCGATATATTTGTACCGAGATTTATGTACTGATGCATTCGTACCGAAACTTATGTTTACGAAGCTGCTGACGTTGTGTTTCAAGACTCATGCATGCCTCATTTGATCTCGAGCTTTAAGTTGTTGTACTTGGACGGGATAACGGGTGGGGATTGCTGGACATACTGGAAGAACAACGGCGGGGCCACAATAAACCATGGATATCATGACCACCACCAAGGTTATGAACACCAAGAGCAGTGATGAAGCCTATTGTTAAGGTCTTGGACTTATTGACATCGATTAACCGTATTATTAGTAGTAATTATAACATCAACATGATTAGAAAATTATATTTCAATCCTTGAAGAATATTATTTTTAGGATAAAATTGTGTATAAGATTAAAGACTAATTTTAATCCTTGGCATTCAACTGAACCATCAGACTAATATGAGGTCAATATGTCGTGTGGTGCTTTTAGTATTTGCAACTAGCTGTGGTTCGAAGGATTTGAACCCAAAGTCGGGGAAAATTGGGGACTACAGGAATTCTCAAATGGTGGTGTGAGGAAAATTCCTTTTCATTGCAGTCTTGGGGACTCATTTTTGGCGATAACTGGTGTTGCATATCCTCATAACTTCAAGGAAATTTTCCATGTAAGCATTGATCATAGCATATTAGAATGCTTAATAAATTACTCATGCACTGCCTTTCCGTATAATTTTTCGGATAGTCAGTGTTACATGTGGACAGGGGATCTTAATAATTTAAGGATAACACAACCATTCGCACTCGATTTCATAAGTTATTCTGCAGCCAGCACAGAATGGCATCTTCGGATTGTGGATTCTAAAAATGAGATGACGAGAAAGACTACTTGAATTGTAATTAGAGTACTTGCAGGGTTCCTTTCCATCTTAAGTAGTACTTTCATTGTTATGATATTTTTTTAGAAGGAGATGGTCGGCGGGAGCATTGGCGACTACTGGCAATTCTTTGGTGCTATACAAGCATAGAGATTTAAGAAGAGCAACAAAGAACTTCTCCCAAAGACTCGAGAAATGAGCCTTTGGTTCTGTATTCAAGGGGATGTTGCCTAATTCAACAGCCATTGCAATGAAAGAGCTGAAAAGTACGAACCAGGGAGAGAAACAATTTCGTGCTGAAGTGGGAACTATCAGTGTAATCTAACACATTAATCTTATTCGCATGCAAGGATTTTGCGGGAATGTACTGAAACTTATGTATTGATACATTCGTACCGAAATTTATGTACCGATGCATTTGTACCGAAACTTATGTATTGATGCAATTGTACCGAAACTTATGTATCGATACATCGTGTCGAAACTTTATACTAATACATCTTATCGAAAATTATGTATCGATGCAATTGTATCAAAACTTATGTACCGATATATTTGTACCGAAATTTATGTACTGATGCATTCGTACCGAAACTTATGTTTACGAAGCTGCTGACGTTGAGTTTGAAGACTCGTGCATGCCTCATTTAATCTCGGTTTTAAGTTGTTGTACTTGGACGGGATAACGGGTGGGGATTGCTAGACGTACTGGAAGAACAACAACGGGGCCACAATATACCATGGATATCATGACCACCACCAAGGTTATGAACGCCAAGAGCAGCGATGAAGCCTATCATTAAAGTCTTGGACTTATTGACATCAATCAACCCTATTATTAGTAGTAATTATAACAGCAACATGATTAGAAAAAGATTTCTAATTTTTCAAAAAAAATTAGAAAATTATATTTCAATCCTTGAAGAATATTATTTTTAGAATAAAACCATGTATAAGATTGAAAACTAACTTTAATCCTTGGCATTTAATTGTAATGATCAAATATTAATTAGGTTGTAATACTTAATGAGTTTTTTTTTAATGTAGATTATATATTGATTCTCATAAACAATAAAAATATTATTTGACAATTAATACAATAATAAAAGCCATATATATCATATATTCTTTATTGTGAGTAAATTTCTCTATATATATGTATACGCATATTACGTATCTATGTAAGTACTATAATTATGTGTTGAGATATTTTGTACAAAAACTTATGTACCGATACATTTTGCACCGAAATTTATGTACTGATGAAATCATACCGAAACTTATGTACAGATGCAATCGTATCGAAACTTATATACCGATACATTCGTACTGAAACTTATGTACTGATACATTTATGCCGAAATTTATATACCGATTCATTTTTACCAAAACTTATGTACCGATGCAATCGTACCAAAACTTATATACCGATACATTCGTATCGAAACTTATGTATCGACGTATTCGTACCGAAATTTATATACCGATGCATTCGTACTGAAACTTATGTGCCGATGCATTTGTAACGAAATTTATGCACCGATGCAATTGTACCGATACATCGTGCCGAAACTTTATACTAATAGATCTTATCAAAACTTATGTATTGATGCAATAGTATCGGAACTTATGTAATGATATATTTGTACCGAAATTTATGTATTGATGCATTCGTATCGAAACTTATGTTTACGAAGCTGCTGAGGTTGTGTTTGAAACTTATGTACTTATGCATTCGTAATGCATTCGTACCGAAACTTATGTTCAGTACATAAGTATTGGCACATGAGCTCCCTGTTTTAAAGGTGTGCTATCTTCAAACTGTACTATACCGCTCTCTTTATTTACTGCACGTTTCATTACACGTCTCTTTCTATTCCCATCACTAAAGGGAGGCGAGCAAATATATATATTTTTTATGAGGCTTTTGAACTTTAATCCTTCAAGAAGATTAAAATTATATAAAAACCTAGTATTAGATTGAATATTGATTTTAATTCCTTAATGTGTACTTAATTCAAATTCATATCATATTTTTATTTATTTAATAGATAACTTATTTAATGTTATTACATTAAATTCTAAATTTATTATGATACACATTTTAATTCCTTAATTTTAGTTAACTGTCTCTAATTAGTGTACCTAAACGTCTGTATCATAATATATTTGATTAAATTAGTGTACCGAAATACACGTAGCTAAATATATTGTTGTGAATTAGTGACACATAAGAAAATATGTAAAAACATAAGTGTACCGAAAATTCCGTAAGTAACTATATGATGCTAAACTAGTGTACCGAAATGTCGGTATCTAAATATATTATACTAAACTAATGTACCGAAATGTCTGTACCTAAACATATTTATACTAACCCAATATACCGAAATGTTCGTACCTAAATATATTGTAATAAATTAGTGGAAAATAAGAAAAAATGCAAAAACATAAGTGTACTAAAAAATCTCTACGAAAATATTTTCTTATATTAAATGCTTACCATAATGAGAATTAAAATTTATAATATTTTCATAAAATTTTAATTCATAAAATTATAAATAAATAAAAAAGAGACATTGAATACATATGCTGACATTAAATAGAATCTAGAGACTAAAATTAATTTTTAATCTTGTATAAGATATTTTTCTAAACTTCATCTTATTTAGATATTAAAATCTAGTTCTCTATTTTTTATTTATTAAAGATAGACTTTCACCTTATTACGTGTAACTATTGTATAGGCCTTAAAATGTGTGGGTTTTTTTTACGAAAGAGTAAAAATAAAGGAAAGAAACAAAAGTGTATTACTTATTCTTAATCAAAAGCAATGTTGTGAGCAGGAGGGAGAGAGGGGAAAGGTCGGCGAATCAAATAAAAACAACACGAAAAACCAAATAGAAGCCTGGGGAAATATAATAAAACTAAGAATGTAAAGTGTCAATTTTACCCTCAAATCGTTACACATTTGAATCGCACTATATGGGTAAAAGCGTCAGTTGAGTAATCGAATTTTCGTTGTAGTCTTCGTCTACGAGCGAGCTCTCTCTCCTCTCTCTCTCTCGCTCTCGATCTAACCAAGCCAGACCCAGCGAAGAAGGAAGAGGCAAACTCTCTGATATTCTCTCTCTCACTTTCTCGCTCACTGAAATTCGAATAGAGGTATATTTTGGATTAATTTAATTATTTTTTGTTTGATTTTTTTTTTTTTTTTTTTACAAAGTGCAAATTAGGCATAGTAATTGTTAGTTTTTGGCTGAATGTGTGATGGAAAGGTAGAAATTTGTTTAGCGTTTTTTTGAAATTTTATGTGGTTCGAATTTTGGAGACCCTGTTCTGACAATTTGAGCTCTGAAATCTTGAGGTGCTGGAGCTGTGAATCCAATGGGATTTTTTTGTAATTTCTTATTCCATGTGTTTGGTTGGTGAGAAAACAGAGGAGAATAATGGAAAATTTGAAATGGAGTTATCAGCTCCAGTATCTTGCAGCTGAAAAATCCATCAAAACTAGAGAATATGTGACCTTTTTAATTAGAAGAAAATGATAATTTTTAACATGTATTTCTCTTCTATAATTCAATTTCAAGGCAACATCCATTCATTATCTCCGGCATTTATTAACTCTTGGGTGTTTCTGCAATGTATTCAATTTTTAAATGATTCTAAGTCATAGTTGAACTTTTGAGTTTATAATTTGAAATTTTGTCAAAATTGAATGAATTAATTTGCTTTTCTGGGTTTTAAATTATGGGACTTTAGAAATTCATTTAGTTGCAAATTTACAATGATTGGCTCCAAAATTTGACGTTAGAGATAAGTAGCTTATTCCCTAGATGCAGTATATTTTAAAGAAGGACCAATTCTTGTTTCATGTGATTAGCAAACACGCACATTCCTATTATGCTTGAGAGTGGAGTGTATTAGATGTCTTACAGTTACGCTTGTTTTGTGATTTGAGCAACAAAACTTTGGTTCTCGAATCAAGATCGTTGTTAATTTGTCTATATAATGGATGGAACTTTTGACTGGTGTTGGCTTTTTTGTGAGCTCTCGTGGCGACTTTATTCATTCTGCTGCTTTGCTGATTTTTCTTGAACCAGATGAAAGAGAGTAGAGACAAGAGTGATAGACGTTCAAAATCTTCATCTGTTAGCTCACTTCCACTCATCTTGGACATAGACGACTTTAAGGTGAATAACAGAAAAATATATCATACATGTTCTGTAACTTTTGTAGTATACCTATTATGAACTTGGCCATCAGTGTAAACTAATGATTGAAATTTAATTTGTAGGGGGAGTTTTCTTTTGATGCATTGTTCGGTAACCTTGTAAATGAGCTGCTTCCTTCTTTTCAAGAAGAAGAAACAGACTCATCTGAAGGTCATAGCAACCTCAGTGGGAATGATTCTTTACAAAATGGACATATGCGAGTACCATCAGATGCAGCAAAATTTGCGCAAGGACTTTCAGACCCTTTATTTCCAGAAGTAGATAAGATATTATCTCTGTTCAAGGATTCTTGTAAAGAGTTGGTTGATCTCCAGAAACAGGTATGTCTTGGGATAGTGTAGGTATTGGACTTACAAAGTTATGTGAAGTTTTTTTGAATTTGCTGATTCCACCTTGTCTCCCTTGTAGATTGATGGAAGACTCTACAATCTTAAGAAGGAGGTTTCTGTACAAGATTCTAAGCACCGCAAGACACTTGTTGAGGTTAGTTAGATGAGAGCATATATTTTACTATTATATTAAGAATATGGTGTGCACACTGCACTCCAAGAAGAAACAGAAGTTTTTTCCAGTTGAGATGTTACTTTCAGAGCTAAAAATATCATCGTTAGAGTGTGACATGGATATCGGGGTTGAACTTAATACAGTTCTCTAAGCTGGAAATAACAGTTACCTGTTGAAAAATTTGAATATTATTGCAACTCATCTTTTGTAGATTCCACCTATCATTGTGCAATGAGTATCATATGTAAAAAATTTCATGGAATTTACATATATGCTTCTTGTTCATGTTTTGATAAAAATGAAGGCTTGCGATTTAAATTCTTTTCTAACATTGTCCTCCACCAATCTTAAGTGAGAATATGCAAGTTTTACCCATGTGAAGTTAGGATCTAAATTCCGAAAGTGCTTTCAAAACATTAAATGAATCTGAGTTGAACAGTGAATCACAAATTTGACTGTATTGTTATGCATATTATTTCTCAGCTTGAAAAAGGAGTAGATGGCTTGTTTGGTAGCTTTGCCAGGTTGGATTCACGTATATCAAGTGTTGGCCAGACCGCTGCAAAAATAGGAGATCATCTGCAGGTGAAGTCTTGTCCTATGCCTGTTTAACAATGCTTAACATCTGAAGTTGTACTTGATATCTATTGTGCCATCATTTCATTAAATATTTGTTAATTTGTGTTGTGATTATGTTGGTTTTTCTTGTCAGAGTGCAGATGCTCAGCGGGAAACTGCTAGTCAAACAATAGAGCTTATAAAGGTAGTCACTGTCGATTTAGTATATGCTACCTTTTATTTATAAGAAGTTAACACCATGTTGACTTTTATTCTTTCAGTACTTGATGGAGTTCAATAGCAGCCCAGGCGATCTCATGGAACTTTCACCCCTGTTTTCTGATGATAGCCGTGTTGCAGAGGCTGCTAAAATTGCACAAAAATTGAGTAAGATGGCATTATCATCTCCAAACTCTGTAGTTATTTTGCCAAGGAACACTATTTATGAGCCTCTCTCTCTCTCTCTCTCTTCCCTCCACCTCTTACTCACTTTCTGAGAAAAGGGATTAAGGACATTTGGAAGTAGCAGTAGCTGTGATTCATCTTCAGGATATGATCATGATATATGTTTAGGTGGATGAAGCCTGAATGATGTTCATCTGATATATGTAGATATGTTAAGACCTAATTCACATCTGGAGTAATTAGGTTCAATGGGCTGAAGCTGTGAGTCCTGTGAAACCCTATTATATGTCCTTTCGGTATGTGGCCATCTAATGTGAAAAGGTGTTTGTACTTCATGAGTGTATACAAATTATTACCGTTCTCCTTAATGAGTATATAGGAGCCCCATAGAATTGTAGAAGGAGCGATTTAATCAGTGTGGTATCTTTTAAAACTGACTGTAATTATGGTAATATCATCCTTTATTCTGAAAATGGAGATAAAGTTGTGATAAACCTAAAGGTAATAAGGTTATTTTACCATGGTTGTATGCTCATCATAGATATAATAACCGTCCATGCTTCTGTCAATATTAGGGGCCTTTGCTGAGGAAGATATTGGAAGACAGGGGATATCTGTACCATCAGGCAATGCAACAGCTAGCAGAGGGTTAGAAGTTGCAGTTGCTAATCTTCAGGACTACTGCAATGGTATGCTGTCATAAAAGTATTAAGCCTCATTGGAAAATTCTCTATGCAATCTTTAGAAGAAGACACTATGTTTCCCTCATCACTTTCGTTTCCTTGTTCTTTTAATTCAAAGCTATGGATGGCACACCACCTTAATGATTATATTGTAATCTTGAATCCTAGAAATTAGTTTCGGAGGGAAAGATTTCTACAAATTATAGTGATTGAATCTGATTAGAGTCCTTTGCTTCTAATTTTGAATAGAATTGGAGAACAGATTGCTATCTCGTTTTGATACTGCATCACAGAGAAGAGAATTGTCAACCATGGCAGAATGTGCTAAAATATTATCTCAGGTAATCACTGTTTCTGGACCTAGTAGATCATTGTATCTAGAATTTAACACCAGGGACTCCTGGCTTCTCTCTGTCTCATTAGATCTAATTACATAGTGAATCAAATACCTCTTTAGTTTTTACAAATGAATCCCTTTGCCTTATTTTTTTATATTTAAATTGCGATGCAGTTTAACAGGGGCTCTAGTGCTATGCAACATTATGTGGCAACACGTCCAATGTTTATTGACGTGGAAGTCATGAATGCAGATACCAGATTGGTTCTTGGTGATGAGGGTTCACAGGCTAGTCCTAGCAATGTTGCTCGTGGACTTTCTTCCTTGTATAAAGAAATCACAGGTTTAAAGAATGTCATTAATCTAATACAAGTGGTGGAATTCTTCAATATATTTGTTACATCTTGGTTCCTTGTGTAGACACTGTACGTAAGGAGGCTGCAACAATTATGGCTGTCTTCCCTTCTCCAAATGAAGTTATGTCAATCTTAGTTCAGGTACAGAGAAGGATTTAATTTTATCTTCTTATTTTTATCTTTTTGGGTGAGTATCTTTTCTCACCATACTTGACCCAGGGTAGCCTCACCAATCCCATTCTGTGCATGTTGTGTATCATATATGTTACAAGTGCCTAACCCTTTGAAATCAGGACATCCATATTGTTATAATGATGAGAGAGAATGTTTATTAGCATTTTGAAAAATACACTATCCTTTTGTTTTACATCTGGATGATTGAATGCAATGGTGAACCCATATTTGGTTTATATAACACATGTCAGTCTTAGAAGAGATTGATTCTGCTACAACTGGGTTAATAGTGGTGATAAGAAATCATACTTATGGGTTCCATTTTGGTTCCCTGATAATGCATTACTGGATTTATTTCATCTGTGTAACTAGTTTTCTTATGTTGGGTGCAGCGAGTTTTGGAGCAGAGAGTTACTGCTTTACTGGACAAATTATTAGTGAAGCCATCTTTGGTGAATCTACCTCCCATGGAAGAAGGCGGACTTCTATTGGTGAGTAAATTACTCTGCCTGTTTCCTTCTCCCCCTCCCATCTCTTGCTTCATCACCAAATGCTATTGGACTAGAAATCATCTCTTCATTTAACTTATATTTGATCTGAGGCTGCAGTATCTTAGAATGCTAGCAGTGGCATATGAGAAGACACAAGAACTTGCTAGGGATCTACGAGCTGTGGGATGTGGTGACTTGGATATTGAAGGTAATGAATTAACTACTTGAAATCCTTCTTATTGTTTTTTTTTTCTCAATGCGGAATACTTGTGTGGCTATGGTGGTGGGTAAAGGCAAGATAACCATCTGGATAATGTTATATTTGCAAAAAATAAAACGAGCTTGTGGATTGTGTTTGGTAGAAATATTGGACAATGAAAAGATTAATTGGGAAACAAAGATGCATCACTCAAGATGCCTAACACAATATAAGGAACTTTTATTTCTTATTTTTCTGATCCTTTAAAAAAGATTATGAGAAGAGTAGAAATTGCCATCGTGTGACAAATCCTAGGCTCAAAGCTGACATATATTAACTTGTGCTGTGTTATTTGGTGGGAATGTTAGTGGTTTTAGTGTTGGTCCGCATTTTTCTGTGGTTGAGATTGCTTCATTGTATTTATCAACTGTGGGATCTTCATAGAAACTTCCTCTGATGGTTCAGGCCTCACGGAGTCTCTGTTTTCTTCTCACAAGGATGGATATCCTGAACATGAGCAGGCCTCTCTTAAACAACTATATCATGCTAAGGTTTGCATCAAATGCATTCGTTCTTGGCCAAGCTTCAATTCCCAAGCTCTCTTGGTGCTAACAATGCATACATGTATTATACCGTGCAGATGGCAGAACTACGTGCTGAAAACCAACAGATACCTGAATCAGGTGGAACAATCGGGCGCTCAAAAAGCACTGCAGTAGCATCTTCCCACCAGCAAATATCCGTCACTGTTGTGACAGAGTTTGTTCGTTGGAATGAAGAAGCCATTGCCAGATGCACTTTGTTTTCATCTCAAGTAATGTTTGTTAGTGATGCTACATATGATTGCTCATTTTAAACTTGTATCTAATTTACTTAGGATCCAGGGAAATTCTTTGCTTAGTAATCTTTTAAATTCTGGAAGAGCATATTTAAAATATAACCCCTAAGTTTTTCTTTGTACTCCATTGTGGTCTAGTGTTTCTCCTGTTCTCCCCAATATACGGGTTTACTTGTTCTTTTCTCTTTTTGTGTGAATAGGTTACCATGCATTCACAAATGTCTACAATTTTTAACATGGAAATTGGAGATCTGGTATTAAGTATCTCAAAATTTATCTGCATACAGAGAATGTGAATCTAAAGACCAGAGTTATAAGAAAATCATGCTTAAAGTAGCTCTTTCCCTTGTGGATAAGTAAGAAATTCACTGAATTGGTGGACATGTTAGTTGTATGTTACTGCTGATGATTAACCCAGAAGAAAATTTTGACATGCCTTATGAAGCTGATAATTGGGCAATGGGAGAACTCATACTAAGAGTAGTAAAATAGAAATTAAAAATACAATGTCCTTTAGATGGTAAAATTGGGGTTTGAATTGTACTGGATTTTTATTATCAGATCTAATGCCAGTTTCTCAGATTGTTTTTTATATGTTACTGTACAGCCTGCAACACTTGCAGCAAATGTAAAAGCAGTGTTCACTTCCCTGCTAGACCAAGTAAGTTGGTTGCTTAAATTGAGGGTTTGATACTTTGTTTGCTTCGAAACCTTGTTTTCCACTCTTTTTTTTTTTTAATGAAATGCTTTTTTTCTCAATATACCGTCCTTTTCAATAGACGTCCAGTTAAGATTCCGGCTGGACGTAAATTATATATATATATATATATATATATATTAAATACTAAGAGAGAGAAATTCTTGTATGATTTTCACTTTTCAGGTCAGTCAATATATAACGGAAGGTCTTGAGCGAGCAAGAGATGGCCTGACTGAAGCTGCAGCTTTGAGGGAAAGATTTGTACTGGGCACTAGCGTTAGTAGAAGGGTGGCTGCTGCTGCTGCTTCTGCTGTACTTACCTGATCATAGACCTTTTGTTGCCTTCTAAATTGTGAAGTTTTTAAGATAAAATGTATAGTCTGCCCATATGGAACTTAAGGATATCAATGGCTGATGTGTAGGCAGAAGCTGCTGCTGCGGCTGGTGAAAGCAGTTTCAGATCTTTCATGGTTGCTGTACAACGCTGCGGTAGTAGTGTGGCTATAGTTCAGCAAGTATGTTGGTTTGCCATTTATCTAAATGAATGTTGCTTTAAGTGGAATACCTGATATGTTGAACTAATTGGCATTTTCTCTCCAGTATTTTTCAAATTCTATATCTCGGCTCCTACTCCCTGTTGATGGTGCACATGCTGCTTCTTGTGAAGAAATGGCAACAGCTATGTCCAGTGCAGAGGGTGCCGCATATAAAGGGCTTCAACAGTGCATTGAAACTGTGATGGCAGAGGTCAGTTAATGAATTCTAGACTTGTTTCGAATATAGGATGGTCAGCAGGCTTGCATAATTCATGAATTCACCCCATTAGTATCTGAACATATCCTGTATAGGTTGCATGCGTATTTTGTGCTCTGACAATTCCTTCTTGGTTCATTTTTTCCTTTTGTGAAATTCCTACTATCCAGGTGGAGCGGTTACTTTCTGCTGAACAGAAGGTAACTGATTATAGATCACCTGAAGATGGATTTGCTCCTGATCATCGGCCAACAAATGCCTGTACAAGGTACAACAAAAGTATAATTAAAGCTATATCTTAAGGGATTCCAAAAACTGACTCATGTCAATTTGTTTTCTTGGAGGGCGAGCCTGACATGAAGCAAAACCATATATTTAGCTAATTCTACAATGAGTTCTGTGACCAGAGATTTGACACATTTGTTTCTTTTCGGCTATATGTCTAATGCTTTTTAAATAATTTTCCTGGCCAAATTTTTTTAGTTTGTCTTCTTATGTGATATTTACTATGCAAATGTTATCACTTAATTCCCAACTATTTTTATACTAAATTAATGATATTGATCAGTATAGTCCGTGTTGTTTCTGGATGTTGAATAACATTTCTCTCTTCTCCTATCTAGAGTTGTAGCGTATCTTTCCCGTGTGCTAGAATCAGCATTCACGGCACTTGAAGGTCTTAACAAACAAGCATTCCTGACTGAATTAGTGAGTAGTTCATCTGTGATCTCTCCTGACTCTTATTTATTCCATGCCTTTGATGTTTCTTTTGCAACCATAGATTAGGATTAGATTGATACTGTAGAATAAGAGGCATGTGCACTGAATTCAATGAAGGATCGCACGGCCTTGAACACAGCGAGCAATGCTTTCAACTAATAAATGATACTATGAATCATGATTGTATCAAAATTGATATAACACAGAAAAGTGCACAATGATTGCATTATACAAGGCCATGCTCGTTATATCTTTGTGGTTATGTTGTTAGTGATATTCTCATTTTCGTTACCTTTTTATTGTAATGTGTGCGGTATAAACTTTTTGCGGTTAGCTGCATAGGGTTAGGGAAGTTGTAGTGATTATATAATGATGATGAGTCATGAAACCTTCACTTTTGAATTCATGTACTTGTGATTTTTTTAATAGGGAAGCCGCTTGCATAAAGGGCTGCTAAATCATTGGCAGAAGTTCACTTTTAATCCAAGGTACGTGGACTTTTTCATATTTTTTGTGGCTGGCTAATAGAGTTGAAAGTTGTGCAAGTAACATATCCTAATTCCGTATTTCTCTCAGTGGAGGACTGCGGCTGAAGCGTGACATAACTGAATATGGAGAATTTGTGCGTAGTTTCAATGCTCCTTCCGTCGATGAAAAATTTGAATTGCTGGGAATGTAAGTTTTGTAGAAATTTCTAAATTTTCAGCTTCCATTCATCTTGATTTTTATATCAATGTAATAATGAGCTTTTGTTTGCAGAATGGCCAATGTCTTCATTGTTGCTCCTGAAAGTCTCTCGACTCTATTTGAGGGCACGCCAAGTATACGGAAAGATGCACAAAGGTATCAGTGTGAACATGTTGAACTGTGGAATGCAAAAAACGCTCTTAGAACACACACACGAATTAGTAAACCAAGATTCTAGACTTTTATTATTATACTGACTTCCTTTGGAAAACATCCAGAAAGAAATACACTTGTCAGCATGAAATTTTGCGCCGCGTGACATTTCTTTTCTGCTTTGAGGTTTTTTAGTTGTGATAAAATATTGATTTGGATGCTGAATCAGGTTTATTGAGCTTCGAGACGACTACAAGAGTGCAAAGCTTGCTGCCAGACTTAGTTCCTTGTGGACAAGTTCTAGTTGATGCGGAAGCAGTACGCTGATTAGATACGCCCTCCCAAATTTTACTTGTCATCAAGCTGTTGCAGAGCTTAGAAAGAAGGCACATCAAGTTGAATTCATTTGGAAGCACAGACGCCAAGCTAGGGAGCCAGTTCTAAGTAACTGGCTGGCTAAGGAGCTCATTGTCGGCGCATTGAATCCAAAATTGTTTGATTTTCTTTCCCATTTTGTTGAAGTGTTTATTTTTGAAGGTATAAATAGGAGGACCAGAAAAGATTGTAGTCTTTAGAGCTTTAATTCGTTTGCTAGGCTTGCAAATTTGATTCGACAACATGAGGATATGAATCAAATGATGAATTCGTTGAACTGAATTAGCTAATTTTCGAGGTGCATGTATTGTTGTTTCTTATGTTCCGGTCAAACTTTCGATTACACGTTTTTAACCGTGAATTAGTTTCAATTGCAATTTATGCTGCTTATGGCTCTACTGTTGTCTAATTAGTAACCAAAGGCACTAAGGGGAAGGTACAAAGTTGAAGTGGATGTTTTTCCTCCAAGTCCATGAACCACATGCCGGAATGAAGGAGAAAAGGGAAAAAGGTGTGGCTAGTGATGGAGATACATGGCCATGCCATTTGTGGTGGACTGCCTCCTATGGAGCTTAGGCACCCACTTCTCTCTCTCTCTCTCTCTAGAAACTCTCTCTCTATCTCTCTCTAGAAAGTGTAGTGGGGTGGTGGCTAGTAATGGACTGCCCATCTCTGATAGCAAAGGTATCTATCTATCACTTGAGGTTGTGCCAAACCCATTAATATGAACCAATCTTCATCTCTTAGGATGGGCCTAAGAGACTAGATAAAAAGGCACCAAAGATCATCAAATAGGTGCTATGATATTGGATGACCCCCACAATCCTCAAAGCTTGTGGGGTTGCTTCTTATGTTTGCCATCCCCACCTTTCTACAACTTTCTATATATTTGACCCATAAAAAATATTCAAACGCTCGTCCTTGATTGCAAATTACAAGCTGACACGTATGTTTAGTGCTTCATTAAAAATTTCAATTAGAGAAGTTTAAGAACACGTGTTGAGCTGTAATGTGTAAGAAGTCGAGTATTTTCCCATGTCCAAATGGATAGAGACCAAGTAGAGAGCGTGTATGTTTGACCTTTGACCACCCAAATGGAGATTGAACAAAATAAAAAGTCAATTTAGCTATATGTGATGGGCCATACACACCGACACGAAAGTGATAGCTTTAGCAGCCGAAACCCAAACCACCAAGAAATTTCACATTCAAAGTGCTTCACAGCTCTCTATCAATGAAATGTAAATGTCAATAATAGGTTACATAGTGTAGAGAGAGAGAGAGAGAGAGAGAGAGAGAGAGAGAGAGAGATAAAGGTGTGTGACGGCAGGTTTGTGTCATAATTAACTTGTCCAAAGTTTAGAACCACCATGGGGTGGTCCAGTAGCGAAGGTGAATTCTAGATTTGTACTTCCAACGATTGGTTTTGAGTTCGATTTTTAACGCTGGTAAATCATATGATGGTGGTTTAGTGCAAGTTAAAATGCCTCCGTGAATGGACTGTCGCCACCAACTGGTCCACTTTTTACAGAAAGGGAAAAAAAGTCTAGAAACGCATCCCTGCCTCCCTCCAATATGTATGAACCATCATCATCAATACCTATTTACCTTGCTTTCTTTATTTTTCTCTCAGCCGAAAGATGATCTAATTAACAGAATTTGATTTTAATTATTAGTTCCAAACCCATATCTCTCCCAAAAGAAAGAGATAAAAGATGAGGAACCTTTGTTTGGTATAATAAGAAGGTAAGGATTTCATGCAATTGATTGATACACAACATCAATTTCACATCAATTAACTATTCACAAACTTTTCTTTATTATAATTCCGAATAAACCGTTATGGGGAAATTTGTAGACACGACAAGAATTCAAACAATTTAAATAAAGTTTTGAACCTATTCGGTAATAATGAATAATCTCAGAATTATCCATTGAACTAGGAATTGTGTTAGGGATGATGTCATTAGATACATTTTTGTTGATAGATGTATTTGTTGCATGCGTTCATGAAGAAGCACATAATAAAAAATCAGCACAAAGCTGTTTTTATAACTAAAAACCTCATTTTACATTTTCTTCGAGATGAATATTATTTATTTAGGCATCCTCATACCGCTAAATGCTGTCGAAACGCTTTTAATTACCTAAAAGTACTTTAACCATTCTAAAGAAATTAACAAACCCTAGTCTAAAGGATCTTGGATAACGTTTAACTTTTCCCAAATTATAATTTAATTCTTTTTGGTGTGAAACCCTGTCCTGCAGATATTTGCTAATCATGCGTGTGGGTATACAAATATCTAATTATATTTATAGCTACAAGTATAGGCCTCTACCAAAAAATAAGGATTTGGATTCTCTCCTGAGCTAATGGAGAGGATCCTCCTGACCCATCATCGTGAACCGTTAGATATTTATCCAATGGCTACAATTATTATAACTTTAAAGGGACCCCCTGTTTATAGTCGTTGGATAAAAATCCAACGGCCCACGATGATGGGTCAGGAGGATCCTCTCCATTAGCTCAGGAGAGGATCCAAATCCAAAAAATAATACATACGTGTGTCAGTGTGTGTATACCTACACTAAATAATTATATATCCTGTGTGCAGACCAAATAACAAAATAAGATAACCTATTTTATACCACTTTGTGTCTTTCCCATAACTACGAATCCGAATCTGGATTCTCTTTATGAGGATCTTGGAGATTCATAAATCGTATCCGTTCATTGTACATCGTGTGGTTAGAAAATATATTATTTAAAATTGAACACAAACAATACCTTACAAAAACTAATCGCACAATATACGACGAACGGACATGATTCATGACATAACTACTACTTGATGGGAACTATACCAATTGTCAATTCAAACAATTACGTTTCTTTTAAATTAATGGGCTTAATGACATCTTTTTTCACTTGTAAATGAGAATTTTTAGATTCAAATTTCATAGATCACGAGTTCGAAATTAATTTATTTCCCTCACCTTTTGTTTTAAAAGAAAAAGTAGAAACATAAATGATTCCGATGCATGAATGTTTTCTCTATTTTCCTCCTCGAAAGAGAATTAAAAAACTGAAATAAACAAAAATGAGTAGGAAAAAAAAAAAGAGTACTGAAATTACTTGCTTATAAATAAGTAGAATAAGATGATGGGCAAGCCAAAATCCAGAAAAGAAATGAATGTATAATTTGATGAGGTAAGATGACCAACTTGCTAACTCGTCTGCCAAAGTCCTCAAAGTTAGGGGCTAACTATATTGTATACACATTTCTTTTATTTTCCTTTAATTTGTATTTCCCCACCGTATTTTGTTTATTTAAAAAAATAGGGAAATTGACCCTACACGCTTGAAAATCAATGCCTCGTGCCACCCACGTCTATGGCACCACCTTTCACATGCCCTTATACTAACTCCCTTACCACTCTTAACTCCATGACACTTGGTCACACACAAATCACCCCATTCTTTTTATTATAAACCTGAACAAACTATTCTTTGCCGTTCGATTCAATGTTGCATACGATAGTTCTACTTAAGATTACTCAGAATAAAATATTTCGACGATTCTAAAATTGAATATGACAGCTTAACTAGCTAGTTGGTTAGATATGTTCATAAAAAAATGAGCTTGTGTGCATTCAAGGTTGTACGTATGTGAAATTTGATGTACTAAAATATAGTGGGCGCCCCTTTTTACTAGAAACGGTTTTTATTTTTGTGAGACAAACGAAAATATTAGTTAGTTAAATTGTTAAATGTTAAGTGTTAGAATAATCAGTAGGAATATAAAATTCTAGCGAGACTTGTTAAATTGTCACATGGCATTGTACATATAAAATTCTAGAAAGACTTGTTCTTTAAGATGTGGAGAGTGGGGACCACCAAATCTGCTAGCTGTCACGCCACATTGGCTTTCCAGCGCCGTCGATATACTGTTTCAGTGCGAGCCTCCAGTGTGAATCGTCTATGAGCCGTCAGATCGTCTTACTTATTCATCAGTTTTTGAGCCGTTGATCACGCCTTCGACTTTGACCCATGGAAAACATCATCAGGGAACCGTACTCGCCCAAGCGGAGACAGCATCAAACTCGCCGCTGAAAGGGAAAAACGTGGACGGTTGGGCACCGCTATACCACGTGGCGTGCGCGAGCGCAAGGGATAGTGGCGGCGCGTGGAGGTGTGGAGTGGTAGTTTTGTGAGAGAAGTGGGAAGTCTCTAGAAGAAGGCATCAACACCCAAAAGAGGGAACAGATGCTGCTCCCTTTAATAAGAGAAAGAGAAGTGGAATTATGTATACAAAAGAGCACCACAATATATACATTTCCTCATTCAGAAAAAGAGCTTTTTTAGGGGTGTTGGGGATTTGGATTTTAAAGGTGGTAGCAGTTGGATTATTGGATTATTGGATATAAAGATGGGATTAATGAATAAATTGATTATGCAAAGTTTAATAATATTGTATTCTTTTACTTGCCCTAAACATATTTAAGGCCAAAGTTCATATGAAAAACAGTGGGAATTTTTTTTTTTAAAAGGAGACTAGTTGGTAGCTTCGCTACGACAGTCTACTCTTTCGAAGTCCGGGAAGACTTATAGAGGCATTTCAGCCTCCCCTTAGCCACCATCGTGCGATTCACTAGCGTCAGGAATCGAATTAAGGATGTGCCGTGTGGAATATGAGCCTGGAATTCATCCCAACTACTAGGCCACCCCCAAGGTGGTTGTGGGAATTTTATCGGAACCTATGTAACCCTTTTCAAGACTCAACTTAAATTTTAAATGTAGATTGTCTTTTATAGTCTATTGCATAATTAACATCAAGTACAAAATGGAATTGAATATTATCAATAAGCCTACAACCAATAATTAAACTCTATCATTAGCAATCTTTATCATACGTTAATTCTGACTAAAACTCTAAGGGTGTGTTTATTTCACCTTCTTAAGTGGGACTGGACTAGCTATGATTATTGTCCCATGTTTGGTATGTTTGGGGACTAACTTAAATGAGACTAGCCCGGACTCGTGTGGACTCCGGGCCTTGTTAGATTGTCCAAAATAGTCCCGTGTTAAACCATGGGGGGGCGTTTGTTGCGCCGGACTATCTCGGACTGGATTAGCTTCAAGGACTAAGCTGGACTGGCTTAGACTAGACTAAACTGGACTAATTTAATGAAGCGTTTGGTGCAGTATTGGACTAAGAAGCTGGATAATAACAAATTCTAATATTATATTATTTAATATATAAATTATTAATATTTTATTATGATCTTATCTTTTTCTCTATCTTTTCCTACCATTTCCGTCCCACTCTTTTCCTCTTCTCTCATCGTCCCACCCTCTCCCTTTTTTTTTTCCTCTTAGACCTCTCAATTCATGTCTTTTTCTCATTCCTGGTCAAACTCCTTATTGATTCCAGTCTCTATTTCTCTGTCCTCCCTTCCTCTTTAGCTATGCGTTGTTCGAACGGAACCTCACGGCTTCAATTTTCCCGCCGAGTTGCAGGTTTCTTGATGTGTTTTCCAGCCAACCCTCGTTAAATTGGATGAAGTTAGCATCGCCAAAAAAATTCATCACCATCCCTGGACCGAGATCTTAGCTAAGCCCAAACAGGCTGAGACTTCCAGGCCATTTTCCGGCCACATTCGACCACATTTTAGCCTCGATTCAAGTAAAATCGTAATCTTGTCACTCCCAGCTTCAATTTGGTATATTTTATATGAAAGTTGGTTGTGAAATGGATCTGAAAGAGAGTCGGAAAGTTAATGATTGATCTAGGTGACCGGAGATGACGAGGAGTCTGTCGAGAGTGGTCGTTGAGCATGACGAGGACGAGAAAGAAAGGATAGTCTTAGCTAGTCCCATGGTTATTGGGGGGTCTCGCTAAGACCTCTTAGTGAAGGGTTTTGTCCATGCTAGTCCCCTTTAGTCTCATTAATGTTAATCCCAGCATGGAACAAACACAGTATTGGACTAATGGCTAGTCCAATCCAGTCCAGTCCAACTTAGTGAGGGCAAACAAACGCCCCCTGGGATTGCCAAGGACTACGATATGCCTTCTTCTTTGCTTTCCTCACTCATTGCCTCCTTCTTCGTCTTTCCTCATCTATCTCTGTCTCTACCTCTTTCTCTGCTAGATCAAGCTCGTTGGGAAATTAATTGATGAGTTCCTCTTGACGGTCGCCTTCGATGCAAATCTCAAACCGGATTGATTATATAGTCTCGTGATTTCTTTGCGTGATCAAGCTCAGCTCTTCGATGATGGCCTTTAGCCATCAATGTCTATCTTCTGATGGCGAGAAGGATGGGGATTGGGTATTTTTAGGGTTATGGGTACTTTTTATTTGTAATAATCAAAATATTTGGAAATTTGGGAATTGGATCTTTAGCAGCGGAGGTCAATCTTCAGGATCAGGGTTAAGCCTTTTGTTATTGGTAATTTTGTAACTTCCAAGTTGTTGAGGAACACCAGCAATTTGGCGAAGAAGATATCCTCTTTCTTTAATCTATTAATTTTGATATTCTTAATAGAAAAAAAATTAGAATATAATAATAATTTATTGTTAGTCCAGCTTTTTAGTTTGACACTGCAACAAACGCTTTACTGAGTTAGTCCAGCTTAATCTAGTCTAAGCCAATCTAGGTTAGTCCCTGAGCTTAGTCCAGTCCAAGTTATTCCGGTGCAACAAACGCACCCTAAAAGCTCTCATAACGAAAAAACAAGCTTTTTTTTTTTTACCTATGATGATGATTTTGAAGTTTTAAATTCTTCAACTAAAGTATCAATGGGTGTAATTTTATTTATATTGGACATGCTACTCCATTGAGCTCATGGGGAATTTTCAAGGACATGTACCAGATATGTAATTTACAAGCGAAGCGGTGTAAACTACTGCAATGTACAAGTTGGGAAGTTCAAACTTTTGTGCAAGAGGGAGAATATACTACCTTGTTCAACCAACCCAACCTAAATGTGTATATCCTGGGTTGAATATAAAATACTAGTTTGTGTCGTACTAAGTTACATATGGTGCGTATTCAATTTTCTTGTGGTATGTTACTAGTATTTCTAAATTGGAACATATAAACACGTGTAAGTAGTAAGGTTCTAAAAGACGCTAGGCGATAGTCTAACAGCGAGCTGGGGCCTAGCACCTAGCCTAGGCTGTTAGGTGGGGTCTAGGCGGGCGCCTAGGCGACCTAGGCGGATTTAACTAAATCAATTATATTTCATGTAAATAAGTGTATGTTTATACTTAAAATACATATAATTTCATCATAAACTATAAAATAGAATGACACATATATTATGAAGTATTGGAACATAATGAAAACATGGGGAACAAGCATATAATGTGTGCTCATTTAAATATTCAACAAGTCTTTTACAATTTATTGAAAAAAAAAAAAGAAAAAGCAAAATGAAAGTTATCTATTTTCTACCTAAGTGAGTCGCAACCTAGGCGGGTCTGGGCGGGCTAAGCAGGTGCCTATGCGGTCTAGGTGAGCGCCTCAACATGTCTAGGCGCATTTTCTTAATTTTCAAACGCGTAGATATTAATCAGGATGATGGTCAGCTGCCTAGCGCTTAGGTGAGAATTTTTAAAACAATAGTAAGTAGTTCTAATCCCTTTGTCACCATTGACCAAGAAAATCAATTGTGTTTTGCATAGTATTGTGTAAAAAATGTATGTCAATCATTGAATCGATTGGAGCTACTTACATATGAGTCAATTTTGATGGTCAATAGTAACCAATTGACAAACTAATTTATGAGTCAATTTTGATATAAACGATGATCATGATATCACTTGTTACAATTAGGATCCAATCCAATTTCAATTAAAATTAATTGGATTGTATGATTGATATTGGGTAGTGTTATCCACAAGTTCCTTTTAATTTATAGTTGTCGGATCGAATGAATTGAATAAGATGAATGACAAAAAAATTAATAAGGGTATGTGATAAGTAAAAATGTGTATGTGAATAGCATTATCTTTAATATTTTTAAACCAAATTTACAAACCAAATGATATATTGGCCATAGAAAATAAGTACGTTAACTAATACTTCTAATCAACAACAAGCACATTATTTCGTTAGCAAAGTTCAGTTTAAAAATTTGTTCTTTCTAGCATTACTTTTTATCAAAATAACAAATTACACATTGAATTAAATACATTGATCTCTTAAATTGAGATTACATCAATCATCGAAATTGATGAAACAAAATTGAAGCTTTGATTGAACTGATTAATCCAGAATGATTATAATTAGGTGTAAAAGAATTGCTAATTAAAAATGCAAATTGTCATAGTTGCCAACTTTACCTACCCACTAAAAATCTTGCAATAACATCAACTGTTTTGACAGGAGCACCCAAATTAACTGGCCTCCACTTTTCCATTTATATTATTTTATTTTAAATTAAAATAAAAAAATCAATTTATTTATTTATCTCTTTCTGTTTTTGTCGGTAAAACTCACGAGCTCCACTCCCTAGACACCGTGTGGAATTTTTCCTAATCAAAACCCGCTTTGACATTTTCTCAAGTCAACCCAGAAACCGAAAACCACTTTTCCATTTTTCATTTTTCAATTTACATTTTTCCCAATTTATTTAAAATGTTATTTCCAAAAGCAACATAAATGCATAGAGATGCCTTCTCTCTTTCTCTCTCCTCCTCCTTTCTCTCACTAGGAAAACCACTTGTTTTTGCCACTTTAGACTTTTGTGTATCAAAATCCTTCTCTCTCTCTCTATAAATACATTGTTTATATAATTCCTCTCTCTCATTACATCCTATCGTCTCTCTCTCTCTTAGCAATAAAAAGTCAGCGCCTTCTTTTGTCTCTCTACTTCTTTTCTCTGTCCTGAAACAGTGATAGCTAGCAGACACAAGGTACAGATTCAGAAACCTTGTCTCTCTCTCTCTCTCGCTCTCTTCTAATGGAGGACGATTGGGATCTTCAAGCTGTGGTCCGAGGCTGCTCCACCGCCACCGCCACTACCACCACATCATCAACCAGAACTCCCTCCACCGCTGCCACCGCAAGTTTCAACATCTCCGGCTTCCATTCAAACCCAGCAGCTGCTTCCTTCTCTTCATTTGGTCCAACTTCCCCACAACAGCAACTCCTCTTCTCTCCCCCACTTCCAGATCCCATCATTAAACCCAGAATTGCAATTGAAGAATTGCATGACCTTTACAAGCCTTTCTTCCCCAAATCTCAGCCTTCCCTCTCCTCCCCACAAATCGCACCACTCACTCTCTCTCCTCTGACCACACCCAAAGATCCAAGGCATCCCATACAGTACCACCAACAAACCCAGCACCAACAACAACAAACCCAACACTCCAAGCCATCATCTTCCACCACCACCGCACGATCCAAAAAAAGGTACGATTTTCCACTCAGTTTTTGTCTCAAAACTTCAAAAAGATCGAATTTTGAAAGATACCCACCTCGTAATTTGCGCTATTTAATTCGTAATTTCATTTATTCACGATTTTTCGTACTATTTCAGAAAGAACCAGCTTAAAAAAGTGTGCCAAGTTCCGGCGGAGGGTCTCTCTTCAGACGTATGGGCATGGCGGAAGTACGGCCAAAAACCCATCAAGGGTTCCCCATATCCGAGGTTGGTTTTCCATTTCTTTCATATAATTTTTCTCAAAACATTAAGTTAAATGAATTTTAGTTATTTTATTAAATTTCTAATTTTTTTTTTTTTTTGGAACAAAAATCAGGGGATATTACAGATGCAGCAGCTCGAAGGGTTGTATGGCCCGGAAACAAGTGGAGCGGAACAGATCCGACCCGAATATGTTCATAGTCACCTACACGGGGGAGCACAACCACCCGGCCCCAACTCACCGCAACTCGCTCGCCGGCTCCACTCGCCAGAAGCCCTTCTCACCACAAACCGCCACGCGGGGTGACTCTGCGAAACCCGCTTCTCCGACAACCTCGGTCTCCGCGGACGAGGAGACTGCCGTTGCACCTCAGAGTACGACCGTGGAAAGCAGCTGCAAGGAAGAGAAGGGGAGTCCTTTGATTACCGACGAGGAGGACGAGTTGTTGGGGATGTGCGACTCGGTCGTGAGTGACGATTTCTTTGTTGGGCTGGACGGTCTGGCCGGAGATTACTTTTCCGATCACTCGACGGGGAGCTTCGGCATGCCTTGGATTTCTAGCAGTGCTGCCACCGCCGCTGGTAGTATCTGATTCGCCAAGAAAAGTCAGCTCTTTTGTGAAGAAAACAAAACTACAGAAAAAAAAAATGAAAAAGGGAAAAAAACCAATTCTCTTTTTCCTCTGGGGGTATTTTTGACTCTATATTTGTTGGGGGTTAGAGAGAGAGAGAGAGAGAGAGAGAGAGAGAGAGAGAGAGAGAGAGGGTACAGTGGGTGTAACTATGGGTGGGAATCTTGATTAACAATATGCTTAATTATTAGAAATATTAGGGGTGAAAAGGCTTGTAGTTTTCTAGATTAGTCAATTAATTATCTTTTTATTTGTTGATTGGTTGTTGGTTTGAATTTTGAGTAAAGTTAATGGAAGTGATTAGTTTGATGTTAGTTACTATTTTGTTTTTATACCAATTGAAATCTCATTTTATTAGATGCAAAAGGCGTTGTAACTAAGTTAATTATAGTAGTGCTATCTCTATGTACATGCATTCGAGTCTCCCTTCACATTATCGCATAATTTAGAACTAACTAGATTTTGCTCCCGTAAAAATATGCAAATGGCTTCATAGTTCTTGGTGTGTGACATGTTTGGCTTGGTCGAAAAGCCAATTTCTGTTTTTCATGTTGATTTGTTTGATGTTTTAACGGCTCGATTAATCCAAGCTTGCAACCGAACTTCCACAGAATTGTAGAAAGTCCAATTGGGATATAAACAAATATCGTCTTGGAGCTAATATTAATGAACTGTCAACATCATGCACAGCTTTAGCAACGGACATAACCCAATCGTGGTTAAATGTCAATTGCAAGTTTCGCGCTTTGTGGTTCACAAGAAGAGAGTACGGGTTTGGGCTTGACGATCCAAAGTGATTAATATTCGGCTTTTTAGCTAACATTGTCCATCGTATTTACATAAACTCTTTATTTTAGTTCTTAAAATTTGAAATCAATAGAAGTGATTACTAAGTTTGTCCACTATTAATCATTTTAGTCATTTCTTGAAAAATCTCCATTAATAAATATAAAATGACAAAAATACCTTCAATTTCTGTCAAATCATTTTGGCCAATTGTTTATTAAATTAAGATATTTTTGTCATTTGATCCTTATTTAACATAATTTTTCAAAGAATGACCAAAATGATTGATGATGGACAAACTAAAGGACCACTTCTAATCATTTCAATCTCAGAGACTAAAGTGATGAGTTATGCAAATCTTAGGGATAACTTTGGCTAAAAAACCTTAATATTCATAAGTAACTTAAATTATGGTTTTGCTTCTCAATAAATTGAAGAGTGAATGTTACTAGACAAAATCGTTTTTAGTTTTCAAATTTTAGTTTTTAGTCTTTAGTTTTCACTTTTTTAAAAAATGAAAACTTAAATCTTGTTTGGTATCTACTTTCAGTTTTAAAAAAATGTAAAATGAAAACCAAAAAGTGAAAACTCAAGAAAGTAGTTGTCGGCTTTTATCTTTTTGAAAATTGAAAATTGAAGGTAGTTAACAAACAAAATTTCAATTTAAAAATAAAAGCGGAAACAAATTGAAAAAACAAAACGGTTACAAATGGCCCCCATAATGTTAACAACGTTTGTTTTTCGTAAAAATACTAGTGGGTTTTGATTGATTATTGCTTGAAGTGCACGTAAAATTTTCTTTTGGGCAAAGTACAAAAAACTACCTCAATTATTGGTGTCACGACACTTTCATACCTCATCTTTTAAAATTGACAATGTCATACCTCATCTTACGAATTTGTGCCAATGTTATACCTTCCGTTAGCCTGCCGTTAATTTGTCAGTTAAATGTTGATGTGGCTTGATTCAGGGCCCACTTTATATTAAAAAAATTAATAAAATATTATTAAAAACTAAAAAAAAATCATTTAATATTTTTTTGAATATTAAAATAATAAAGAAAAGTAAAAAAAAAAAAAAAAAAACAAAAAAAACAAAAATCAAAACCTTTCATTGCCTAATTCGCATCTCTATTCCCAAACAGCTCCCCACTCGAGTCCGTCCCCATCGCCACCGGAAAATCCAAACACATCCCATACGCCGTCGAAGCCCCAACTGAGCAACACCTTCGAGTCCCACTTCGCTTATTACTCCTCCCGGAAATCGACCTCGACCCACGACGCTACCGCTTCTTCGCGATGAACCGGAAGCTCCCGTTCCTAATATGGTGTCCACCGGAGATCATCATGTCGTCGTCGACCAAGGTAAGTCTCTAGGGATGAGGCTCTACAAGCAAGTCTCTAGGGTTGATTCTGTTTATTGTAGTAAACTTTCTGACCCAGATGGGGGATTGGGATTTCCATGTCCCAGGGCCTCTCATTCCCTAAATTTTGTGTCTGGTTGCTTGGTGTTGTTTGGTGGTAGATGTGAGGGAGGTTAGTCAGTTAATCTTGCTTAAAATAATCCCTTCTCAAATTTTGCTTTTCTGGGTTGCAGGTAGGGGCTCGGGTGGGGGAGAAGAGAGAAGGATGTGTGGGGGAGGGGGGGAAGGGATGAAGTTTTGTTTATTTTTTTCCTTCTTCTTTTGTTTTCTGGGTTGCAACAGGTAGATTAGGGGGGGGGGGAGGGGGGGGGAAGGGACGAAAGGTTTTGTTTTTTTTTTTTTTTTGTTTTTTTTTTTTACTGTTCTTTATTATTTTAATATTTAAAAAATATTAAATGATTTTTTTTTAGTTTTTAATAATATTTATTAATTTTTTTTTTAATAAAAAGTGCTCTAAATTAAGCCACGTCAGCATTTAACTGATAAATTAATGGCAGGCTAACGGAAGGTATAACATTGGCACAAATTTATAAGATGAGGTATGACATTGTCAATTTTAAAAGATGAGATATGAAAGTGTCGTGATACCAATAATTAAGGTAATTTTTTGTCTTTACTTTTTTCTTTTTTAACGGAAATTGTCTAATACTAAATTTAGCGTAAAGTCCCCAAAACTTGCACCATTTTTTGTTCAGAAACAGCTAAAAATTTTATGCGCATCGAAAAATTTTTTGGAGGTTTATCATCTCCGATGGCAATTATATATTTGGCAAACTTCGGCGCCAGTTCAACTGAACTCATTTATGAAAAGAAGAAAAAGGATAAATGTATTAATTGACGTCTAAATAAACAAGTTCAACGTTGGATTGACGTTAGATTTTGTCGACGTAGAGTTTTGTAAGGATGTGTAAGGCGAAGTCCCACGTTGAAGAAGGATCGAGCTCAACAAAAGACTTGTAAGAAGTTGAGCCACTTCACATATTATTAATTAGTTTGTGGTGAAACCTAAACCTCTTAGTAATATCAGGGATATCATATATTTATCTCATATCAGTGTGCATTTGATGTGCCACCCTTCGTAAATTAGCTTACTGACATCCTTTCACCCGTCAATTGATATTCGGCAATGAAGTGATAGGTATCCAGTTGATAGCATGCATTCCAAGAGAAAAGTGGACTGAGCTTCCTGATCAGCTTTGGTTATCCAACCTAGTCTCTCCAAGCACTGTTCCGACTCGCTTTACGTCCCATCCTTGGTCCCTATTATTGACTTGGAGTCGCCAAGTGGCTTGATTGACATTTGAATTGACATTTTCTTGGAGACTTGTGCCTAAAGCTGTCAGTTTGCCCATGTGCTTTTGGAGGCCGGCAAGCATAAACCCTGGTTGGTCTATGTTTGCCAGGCCGTTGGCTTTCGACGCTTGGACGTGTTCTTTTCTAAGCCAATTGGACCTTGGGCAGCTTGGTCTCCTCTGGCTTTGACTTTGCCTTAGGCTCTTCGTGGCTTCTTTCCTGGGCGGCACTTTCGTGTGGGCCTAAAAGTGCCCAGCATTAACATAGTGAACGTCCAATGAGACAAATTTATTAATTAACTTGATATGTGGATATTACTTTCCATGTCAAATGTTACATCAACGTAATACAAAAATGTAATCTTCTTAACATTTTTCAATATTTTTAGCTAGTTGCATTAAAATTTGTTGTGCACTCTAAAAAATTAAGCACCAAGAATATTTAAAACATGGTTGGATTGTGAGTAGACAAAAGGGCTAATTTAACGATAAGAAAGTGCAAAGGGAAAAGTACGAACTCGTCCAACTGAAAAGTGGAGTTTTGCAATGGACCAATATGTTAGCAACCTCTCATTTTGAAATGGTAAATAGTAAAGGTAATTGTTATTCACATACATCCCCTTTTTATTCGCTCTTCCGGAACCGGTAGATAAATTGGTGCTGTTTTTTACGTTGTTTATCTTAGTTAATGGGGGGTTTCCTGGAATCAAGTTGTTTGCTCAAGCTTCGGCTTAAGGAATAACAACCTCAATATAACCTACTCCAACCAAAAGTTGGCCCTTATAGCATAGTATATAGCGTAACACTTGCTCCGACCCATCTTGTCAGTTGTTTTTCAAAACAACATAAATACAACTTCTTCTACGATATTTTAGGCAAGCATAAGCCATTGGGTTAGTTGGTCACTGCGGCTTATGCTTGTCTATATTTTCTTAAATTTTTTATTTTTACCTTTCACACACCTTTGTTAATTCTTATTTTGATATTTTTCAATTTATTCCATCTGACGGCTGAAAATTAAGAGAAGTGTGTAAAAAGTAACAATGATTGTGTGGATAGCACCACCCAAGATTTAAAAGAAAATGAGAAGCTACCAGATTTGATTGGTATTGTAATCAGTGTTCAACCGTTCAACATGGGCTTGGATTCACCAAAATCCACTCATATTTTATCAAAGTGTCAACGCTGCTTTTCAATAATTACCCACGTTACAGGAAAAAGATGTAATTATATGCAGAAAAAGGAATCTCCCCCCTTGGCCATGTTTCTGCAGGTACACTGGTCATAGAAAAGCATAACATTTGTTAGGACATGATTGTCCGGTCCGGCTACAGTAAAAATACTATTCGCCGTGGAGTGGTACTTTCGCCCATTGAGCGTCATAGCGCCACTTTCGTGTTTAGAAAAATCGGATCATATGACATAGAACTCAAACATGAGAAAATCTTGTATACAATCACAAGATATCAACACAGGATCATTAGGGTTTACAGAAAATCAATAAATTTATTAAAAAAGCAAGAAATGGAAACAACCAAAAGTGTATTTCATACAAGGACATGAAAGATGGTGCAGCAACAGAGACTCAGTAAGCAGTTATGCTTTCTCCTGAGAACGGCTGACAAATGTTTAATCGATGCTTGCATCCTTACGTCATTGCAGATGCTCTATGCAGTGGAAGCAGCAGCAATTTCATATCCTTGCACAAACCTTCTCAACTTTTCGGTTTCACCAACAGCGGAAAGCCATTCGGTGAGAATCTCCATGGTTATATAATCCGGATTACAAGCCTGTTCAACCATTTGATCCATTA